AAAGCATTGGCTTACAATGGACTGGAGCAGCTCTAGTGGGCCGCCCAGTGCTGTGTTATCACTATGTGAAGTGGGAAAGTCTTTGCTTCTGTGGCTGTGGATGCCTTCCCATTCCCTCCACAGATGCAGGAACCCAAAAGGCATAGTATCCTTAACTCACTGCAGCAGCAGCAATTAGGAGCAAGTCTCCCTGGACCCATTTTAGAGATGAAGAAAACGAGGCCCAGGGGTCATAAGACGGTGATTCTACACTTATTTGGCCTTTTCTTTCAGAATGGGCATCCAAAATCCACGCTTCAAACCATGCCACCCTACTCAGGAACCAGTCCAACATGCATTGCTGGAGAGTTCAGTGTGTGCCTGCCTTTAGCACAGGACTGGAGCCTACCAGAATTGCTTCAAAATCTTCCAGCCATGTCCCAACCCCTAAGGATATACTCAGGGTGGCTGGGGGCCAGGTCTAAGTGGAGAACTCCTGCCCTGGTGTGAGGCCCTAAGGACAAAATGGAGTTTCCAGCTTGGGTTTCGCAAATGTGACTGTGGTACAGCAGAGATCTAGGGAGAAGCCCCATGAGTAGAGAAATGGCCCATGTGGTGGCAGAGACAATGGGACAGTAAACAGATGAGCTTGGCTGAAGCAGAACGGGTGCTTGGAGACAGTGACAAATGAGGCAGGACATCACAGGGACTGGAGAGGCTGGGGAGCCCCAGGATGTTTCTGCAGCCCGCTTGTGGCAGGAAAGGCATGTTAGAGCCTAAGAGAGATGTCCTGAGAGGCCTGGGAGGACAGCCAGGCACAGGGTGCTCTCTGCAGTTGCCCAGCATGGTAGGGCTGGAGGCATCAGGGATGCTGTAGAGGAGGGACTGTTACTGGATTGGGTGTGACAGACAGCCTGTGCCTTAGCAAGCCAGATTCCGCCACCTGCTCCCGATGAGCCAACTAAAGCGACCAACTTAATACTAAAAACAGAAAACAGACACTTATTCAATATGGCCACATCAGGGAGAGGGACAAAGACATCCAATAACATCCCAAGTCCATCTTTGGGGTCCAGTTGCGAGGGTAATGTTTAAGCAGAGGTCATCATTATGCATATCTGAGGGGTCCAGGTCAAGCTGTGGTACCACCTGCCATTGAACCCATTGTTGAACCCAATCCTTTAAGGTGGTCTGACAAATTGCAAAGCTCTTTCCAAGAAGAAAACGTTCCTCTCTTGTTGGTTCAAGCTTTAAGCTCTCTCTCCTCTCACACTGAGATTCCAAGGAATCCCAGGGTCCACTGTTTCAATAGTGTTGATGTCCAAAGTGAAAGTATGGTGTCTCTTTAGTCCATCTCTGTCCCTGCTCGGAAGTTACAAGACCAAGAAGCCAAGAGGAGGCAACCCTGCGGGGGAACAAGTCCATAGCTCTGGAAGGCTCATGGCTTGCCTCCCACTGCCCATCTTCTGTGTCTGAGTTTGTCCTTTTAAAATACAGCTCATCCTACCTCCCTGGCAAGTGCAAAGTTTCATGGAGAACATCCATATGAAACCCTCTCCAGGACCCCTGCAAGCCCAGGACTGGGTAATGCTCTTCTGACCCATCTCCTTCCTGAGGCTGTGTATACATTCCCTGCTCAGCACCATGAGCCATCTCAGCCATACCAGCCTGTTTCCTGAAAAACAACTCCATGAAATGGGGAACATCACACCTATTTGAGGGATAGAAAAACCCTGAGGCACAGGGGACACTTTCAGCACCACCAGCAGTTACTGATAGGGGGTGTGGGGGCTGGACATAGCTCAGTGGATAGAGTATTTACCTAGCAAGCAGGAAGTCCAGGGTTTGATCCCCCAGCACCACATAACCAAGACAGATTGGAAGTTCAAGGCCATCCTTGGCTGTTTAGCCAGTTTGAGACCAGCTTGGGCTATATAATACCATCTAGAAAGGCAGGGGGTGGGGAGAAGGGAAGGGAAAGAGGGGGGAGGGAGGAAAGGAAGGAAAGAAGGAAGGGGAGAAAGAGAGAGAGAGAGAGGAGGCTAAAGAGATAGGTCTGTGGTTAACAATACACACAATACACCTCTAAAGGTACCTGTACTCACATGCATCTCCACATAATTAAAACTAGGGGCTGGAGTGAAGACTCAGGGGTTAAGAGCACTGGCTGCTCTCCCAGAAGATGGAGATTTGGTTCCTGGCACCCACAGGGCAGCTCACGGCCATCTGTAAGAGATCCGTTGTGATCCACTGCCCTCTTCCGGCTTCCACAGTCACCAGACATGCATATACATGTAATATACACACATACATGAGGGGGCTATGGTGGGAGCCCAAGTCCCTCATGCTAACCAGCTCCTAGGTCATGCTAGGGCAAAAGGCCCCGAGATAAGAAGAATTCACACTGCCCCTCCTTTCCTGTGAGTCAACAGGCGGTAAATAGGGTCCTTAGGAAACAAAGAGATAGCTGTAACCCATGTCAAACGCCAGGCATAGTGAATTGCACCCTCAGAATGAGGAGTCTTCCAGGTTCGGTCGATACCCCAAGAACTCAATGTCCAGTCCAGTTGCTGCAAAACGCAAGAGGCTTTAATGAACAGGAAACACCTTCCCGTATATGTATGGGCACATGGAGGCAAACACTTGTACACAAGAGGGTCATGTCTTCCGTCTTCCGTGTTTCCATGTTTCTCCATTGCCCCTCCTCGTCCTCCACACCAGCCTTCCTCAGCTCTGGGCTCTCTGTTCACTTACCATTATCACCAGGGTTGGGACCTCCACCTCGCGAAACTGAGCTGGGCACAGCCGGGGCCAGCGGCTGCAAAAGTCACTACCCAGGGTGGGCCTGTTGATCTGTGTGGCAGCCATCGAGGGCTCTGCCTTCCCCTGGGGCCGCCATGAGAGTTCTCGATTTATCCTGCCTGAGCACGCAGGAGACCAGATGGGTGACGCGCGAGCACATCCACAGAAGCCCAATATAGCCTTCCAATTATCGTTTAATCTCACTTCTGTCTTCATGTGTTCGTTTCAGTTTTCTCTAAACAGAGACTTTTAAAAAAAAATGTAATTTATGGCATTTAGGTAGCATTTGTTCACCTGCAGATGGAATGAGACCTGGGTTGGAGTGTGAACTAGAATCCTAACACCCTGAAAGAGGGTTGCTGCCTCCAGGGACCCCTCTTTCTTCTACCTTCTCTGTATGAACAGCGGCTTCTGACCTTCCAGGTATGCAGTGCTTGGCCCTGGCTTCCGCTCTCCCTCTGTGCTCTGGCCTTCCTGGGCCCCTCAGTAGGCACTTTCCCCCCCTTGAGGGCCCTCTCCTCTCATGGCTGCCTTCTCTGCTCCAGTGGCCTCCCTGTGACAGAGGAACAGTAAACCCACATCTCAAACATTCACAAGTAGACGGTTGAGGACGGAGACCATCATCTTACGTTTCCCAGAGGGCTCTCTGGGCCTCGGCTCTGACTTGACCAGGAGCCCACCTGATTCAGCTGATGTGCCCTCCCTTACTGGATCCGGTCCACTAGGTCCAGGGCCACTGGTCCACGAGGCGTCAACCCTGCAGAAGACAGACACCTTGCTCTAGACCGAGGAAGGAAAAGCCAGTTTGGAAGGACCTGGGGAGCCCTGGAGTTAGAAGGGACCTGGGCAGGTTGGAAAGATTGCCGCCAGCAAAGATAAGGAGGCCTGGCCTACAATGGGCAACAAAGCTGGGCACACTAGGCTGAGATCGGGACATAACACAGAAGGGTAAACTGAGGCTGTGGGGCAGAGGGTGACACAGATAAGGGTCTGATAAAAGGGTGGGGATCCTAGGAGGCCAGCAAGATGACTCCATGGGTGAAGGCTCTCAGCCAAGCCTGGCAAAGTGCTATGACATGTACACACACACACACACACACACACACACACACACACACACTGTTACAACAAAAAGGTGTAGTTTTCCCATGATCAGAATCAGAGCCCTCAGAACCAAGTTCCTGAACCCCAAGGTGAATTTTCACTTTCCAGTCAGTGGAGCGAAAGCAAAGGGCATCTAAGCACCAATGGAGGGTTGTGCGGAGAGGAGCTGGGCCCAGCTTTGCTCACTGGCTTGGTAACTCCCTTGCAGCTGCAAACTCTGCACCCACCCTTGAGGGCCCTCGGAGGACCCCTGTGTGTGGGGGGAGAAGGGGGGGTTAGGAACAGCTGAGAATCACCGAGTTTTAGCAACACAGGTGGGGGGGGGAGGGAGGCTTCAGTTCATGTTAATTACAACCTTAGGAAGTGCTGTGACATTCCATCCCCCAACCACTTTTCAGATAGGGAAATGGAGGCACAGAGAAGTGAAGTTACTTCCTAAGGTCACACAGTTGGTGAATAGCAAACTCGACCAATTTGGGCCCAGGGTCTGCAGTGCTGATGTTAGGGTGCCTGTGGACTGGGGGTTGCAGGGTGTCAGTCCTCCATGGGCCTCTTTCCCCATAAGATTGACTCATCTTGAAGGCGAGAGTGTGTTCTAGGGTCTCACTTTATTTCCTGGGCTACTTCAACAAAGCTGGTTTCTCTTCAACTTGTCAGACACAGAGGGCACAGGCTGTCAAGAGCCCAGTCAGGTGGCTTGGCTGCTGGCCCAGGCTCAGCCTCCTCGCTTGGCCAGTTAAATGTTGACCCTTCAGTTGGGGCCAGGACCATCCCTACTCTCCAGGTACCTGTGGCTCCAGGAAACACCACAAAAGCTGCCCCCAAGCCTCCAACTCAAGGATTTGCAAAAGAGAAAACACACAAAGACCAACTGCGAGCGCTTCCAGGTATCCGGTGACAGATCTTCTAGGAGCTTCCTTCCTCTTCGAATCCCTGCTGGCACTCCAAATGCCCTCCAGCTGCAGCAGAAGACTGATTTGGAGCTCGGCCTCTGGTTAGGACTCCCCCCCCCCCATTGCAGGGGAAGATCGAAAGAGGCCAGCAGTGACCTTGTCCATCCCTTGCCCCAGTGCCACTTACGCCAAGTCAAAGTCACCTCCGCTCCAGCAACTCAGCTGGCCAGAACCGGCTAGGGACTCCCTCCCACTCCGCAGCAGGATCCAGGAACTTGCCCCTATTGGGCAATCATTAATTGGATTCTTGGCATTCCTCTGCCCCTGGCCAGCATGCTTCCCACCAGAACTGGGGCAGAGACCCACGACTGGCATTTGGACATGCAGCTGACCAGCAAGGTGGTTCTGTCTGCAGCTGCGCTGCTCCTGGTGACTGCAGCTTACAAACTCTACAAGTCCAGGCCTGCCCCAGCTGGGCAAGCAGGGAGAAATAACCACAAAGCAGACGGTGAAGCAGAGGGCTTGGGGCAAGCTGCCTTCCAGGGGTCTTCTCCAGGGTCCCTGCCAAGGGGGCCAAGACGCAGGAAGGCCAGCAAGGGGGCTGGAGCCCCACTGGACTGCAGCTTGGAGGAGCCAGGAGACTCCTGCCAACTGGTCACCTCCAGATCTGGGGAGTCTACAAAAGGCTCCGATGAGAATCAGGAAGGGCAGTGCCCAGACTCTCAGCATGTGCCTCCTCCCTGCGGTGCCCAGGAAGCCAGAACAGCTGTTAGAGGTAAGCCCAACCCTCCCCACCTCCCTCCTCTGAGCTGTGAACTTACAAGCTCCCGAGCTAGAACTGCCCCAGGAGTGGGCAGCAGCTGGGTGGGTGACAAGCTCTCTGCATGGCCAGACAGCAGAACCCCAGGTCAGACAGGGTCTGGGGACCCAGGAGCTCCCAACTGTTGCACTGAGCCCGTTGTGGTCAGCAGTGACATGGACCAGAGCTGGGTCTTCACCCATGTGACAGGGGTCAACAGGGGAGAGGCTGGGGCCCTCCATGCTGCTGCAGACATGGGCCTGGCCACACAGCAGCGGGAAGGAGCCACCAATGCCTCCTACACCTTCTCATCTGTGGCCCGGATCCGGATGGAGGAGAATGTTATACAGAAGGCAGAGGGACCGGGGCCCAAGCTGAAGGGGAGAGTGTATGAGTACTTCGTGGAGTCCATATCGAAGGCTGTCTCCAGGCCGGTCCCCTACACAGCAGCTCTGGCTGATGCTCCATCCCCTGGGCCTGGACCAGAGCCCCTGGACACAGGAGCAGACTCCAGAGGCCAAGCTGACAATCCAGAGGGTGCAGCTGAAGTAATGTCCCCACCTCCTGTGCCATCCCCCGCCACACCAGGCTTCAGCAGAAAGGTGAGCCTCCTGCAGATCGCTGAGAACCCAGAGCTCCAGCTGCAGCCTGAAGGCTTCAGGATGCCCGCTCCTGCCCATCTGGACCAGGAAGCCCAGATCAATTCAGCCTGCAGCCATGGGGAGCCCAGTGTGCAGCTTGTAGCTGGGACCAATTTCTTCCACATCCAGCTCACCCCAGTGTCAGCTCAGGATGTCCGCCTGGACCTGGGCAATTGCTATGAGGTACTGACCTTGGCCAAGAGGCAGGGCCTAGAGGCCCTGAAGGAGGCAGCCTACAAGGTGATGAGCGATAACTACCTCCAGGTCCTCCGAAGCACAGAAATCTACGGGGGCCTGAGTGGGACAGAACGGGAGCTGATCCTCCAGCGACGGTTCCGTGGCCACAAGTGCCTGGTGGTAGCAGACATGTGTCCCCAGGAAGACAGTGGCCGCCTCTGTTGCTATGACAATGTGCAGGATGCCTGGCACCCACTGTCCCAGCTGCCCATGGAGGCCATGTCCCAGGGTTGTGCTGTCTGTACTCTCTTCAATTATCTGTTTGTGGTGTCTGGCTGTCAGGGGCCTGGGGGTCAACCTTCCAACCGTGTCTTCTGCTACAACCCCCTGACTGCAATCTGGAGTGAGGTGTGCCCACTGAACCAGGCCCGACCGCACTGCCGGCTGGTGGCCCTGGAGGGGTACCTCTATGCCATTGGAGGTGAGTGTCTGAACACAGTGGAGCGTTATGACCCTCGAGCAGACCGCTGGACCTTTGCCCCGCCACTCCCCAATGACACATTTGCCCTGGCTCACACAGCCACAGTGTGTGCCGATGAGATCTTCGTCACTGGGGGCAGCCTGCGCTACTTGCTGCTCCGATTTTCACCCCAGGAGCAGCGTTGGTGGGCCAGCCCCACGGGGGGCAGCAAAGACCGCACAGCTGAGATGGTGGCCGTCAATGGCTTTCTCTACCGTTTTGATCTCAACCGCAGTTTGGGCATCAGCGTGTACCGCTGCAGTGCCAGCACCCGGCTCTGGTACGAGTGTGCCACATACCGCTTGCCTTACCCCGATGCCTTCCAGTGCGCTGTGGTGGGCGATCATATCTACTGTGTGGGACGCAGGCGTATGTTCTGCTTCCTGGCTGACCACATCTCGCCCAGGTTTGTGCCTAAGGAGCTACAGGGTTTCCCTGCTGCGCGGGGCACCCTTCTGCCTGCTGTCCTGACCCTGCCTGTCCCTGATGTGCCTCAGACCCCTGTCTAGCAGCCCCTATGCTAGGCTCCATCGGGATGCAGAGAAACTCTCTGCCCATCACTCTGGGTAAGAAGTGGGCAGGAAGATAGCCATGGGGTGGAAAGTTATCTCTCCTCCACCACAGGCTGCAGGGCCTTAGAGCATTCTTTAACATCCACAGTTCACAGGCCTACTACAACAGTGAAACCAGGGCCCAGCATTCCAGGGCTGCGGGTGTCCACAACTGCATGACTGGCTAACCAGCACTGAACTTCAAGTCAGACTTCTGGCAGGGGCTAATTCAGTACCCCACTGAAACTCAGGGCATAGTCTTATCCCAGTCATAGTTCCAGGTGCCAGGGGACCCCCAGAGGACCCCTCAGGCTGCTCAACTTCCTGTGAGCCACCATAGACCACCTTCCTAAGTACTGGGGCCCTGTACTTCTAGAAGCATCTAAAGCACAGATGGAAACAACCGAAGGAGGAGCCCAGGGTACCCCTGAGGTTCACCCAGAAGGACCGGCATGGCTAAAGCTGCAGGCACCCACAGGGACACCTGTTTGCTGAGCACACTGACAAAGGTTCACTCTTCTTATTTGGTTATCTCAAGCTCTGTGTGCTGGAAGGAAGAGAAGCATCCATCTTAGCATGAGTTCTATTTGAATATTAGTCATTGCCCAACTGAGGTCTTGGGAGATGGGTACAGATGTGGCCCCAGACTCCTGTTTTCCAGACTCCTGCCTTGCCCACTACCACCTGAGCACAGCTCTTCCCCAGAGTTCAGAATCCTCTCTGCCTGTAGACCAGGACAGCCTCCACTCTTCAGCTCCTCAGCGTGGCCTTCTCGGTGCCTGGTAGCCATCTTGTCTGCCTTGTCGGATGGGAAGGAATGGGGAGAAGCAAGTCCAAGATGGAGCTAAGAGATGGAAGATTCTAGTGGAGCATCCAGGCCCTCAATCTGTTGATTCCAAGGGGACCCAGTTCCAGGAAAAAAGATGAAGAGCCTGATCTGACTTGTTACCCTCCCCATTGTGCCCTCGTTCCATTCTGAGGGAGACAAAGACATCAGGAGGAAAGCAATGATGCTCTTGGAACCAGCCGGGGGCCACGAGGTTGGGGCGGGCCTGACAAGTGGGAGAATAGCACTCCAGATCCTGTCTCTGTCCCTTTAAAGTCCTCCCCAGATCCCATGGGTGGCCATGCAGGCCCCTGGGTGGCTGCGAGAAGCCACATGCAGGCCTGGGTGGCTGCTGGGACTCAGATTGAGGTACTTTTTCAAAGATGCAGGATTAGAATGTAGAACAAGGATGAAGTTGGTGTGGAGATGGGAAGAGAGCTTTTGTTGGACCACACAACGCGACTATCCCTGGCCAAGGGCCCCAGAGGAGGAAGCAGCCGAGTGATTCCTGAATTGAAAGCTGAGTAAGAAAGGATATCTGGGCCATGGGGGGAAGGGGGTACAGGGAGGGAATCCTACTCTCGGCCAAGTCCATGTCAGTTCTCAGGCATCAATCTCTGAGGAACATCAGGGCAGTGGGAAGGATGGCTTCCATAAAGAGAATCAAAGGCTGCTGTGGGATATTTGTACACTGTGAGAATGTATTGCTGTGATTGGTGTAATAAAAAGCTGAACAGCCAATAGCTAGGCGGGACTTCCAGGCAGAGAGAGAACTTCGCAAAGAAAGCATGGCCAATACAAAGAGATGAGGCAACAAGCAATGTGACAGAGCGTAGATTAAAATAAATAGGTTAATTTAAATTGTGAGAGCTAGTGGGACAACTCTAAGCTAAGGCCGAGTTTTCATGATTAATAAGTCTCCATGTCATCATTTGTGAGCTGGCAGCCCAAAGAAAAATCTGGTTACAAAAGGGGGCATTGGTATAGTGGTGCCAGGTTGAGGAAAGGTGTTTTTGGAAGATGCCGCCAGATCCCACGCACAAGTGAGCCCAGGTCTGAGGGCAACCTCTAGCAATGAGCCAGACAGAAGACAAGATCCCCGCCAAGCTGAATAGGGTCTGGGATAGGTTCTAGGCCCAGGAACTCAAGAGAGGAGGGAACACACTAGGGAAACCTTCAGAAGCCTATGGTGAGCCAATTGTAGGAACCTGGTAGGTATTCCAAGGAAGATGTGAAAAATAAAATAAAATGTGTTCCAGACCCAGTGAGTGGTGAGCTTGGTCTTTATAGAGAGAGGGAATATTGGGATTGGGCTGTTGTACGTCCCTTACGCTACATGGCAGACATCACCAATCAATCCTGTGTCTATTCCTGATGAGCCTTTAGAATGACTTCAGAACTGTTTAAAACAGAAACCCAACAGTCACAGCTGCTAGGTCAGCGCTGGCATGCCATCACTGGCTTGCCAAAGAGCTGGTTTGGGGGATGGAGGAAGTGGTTACAGCAGAACCAGGTAACCCAGGAAGCCCAGCAGAGAGATGCATGGTGATCAGAGTTCACTGGTGAAAGCAAAGGAACGGTGCAGGCTGTCTGGGCTGGGCACTGCTCTGTGGCTGGGGAACAGAGTTCCAATGGAGAAGAGCAGGCTGGTTCATAGACCAGGCACAGGAAGACAGATGCTGAACTCAGCATATGCATCCACCAAGACAAGGGCGAAGCTGGCCAAGTGCTCTGATCAGGCCTCCCGACGAGATGGTATCTGAGGATGAGTGGGGAGCTGCACAGAGCCAGAGGGGAGCGTTGCCACAAAGGCTGGGGAACTGCTTTGGAGGAGGAGGACCATCACTGGGGGGAAACAGGGGTAGAGGACTAACTGATCTTGCTCCCTCTGTCTGCTCCCTAGCAGAGAAGCTTACTTGGTGGCAGGAGCCAGCATAATTACCAGGGAGTCACAGGTGCCATGTCCATGTCTGAAGCCAGGAGGTAGCCTGCTGACACTTGCTTCCCATAACCTTGGAGTCTAGGCTGCCCACTTGACTTGGGGAATAGCCTGGGGTCTGCCAACCTCCTGGCCTCAGCTTCTGGTTGGCCTAAGTATCAGCCGGCTCTCTGAGGGCCATCTGTCTTGTTTATTTCTAGTAAGAGTTCTTACTGCTTTGGGGGGAGGAAAAATGACATTTGGGTTATTTTCCACTTTAAGCCAGTCCATGGCCCTTTATAGAAAAAATAAATAAAGAGACAATTGAAAGATAGAGAAATGTATGAGAAAATTCTCAATTCTGCCACCCAAAGGCATATCCTGCTGGGGTGTGCGTCCCTCGGGTCTCTTTCTTGTTTGTAGGTTTTGTTTGGCTTGGATTTTGCTCGGGTGTGTTTGTGCTGAACATACAGTTCTGTTGCTTCCTTCTGCATGGCGTTTTCAGAATAAGCATCTTCCGTGTTATTACAAACCCTTGGTAAACATCATTTCAATAGTCACAGAATATTCCACCGAGTGAATGCATCTCGCTCTATTTAAACACGCTCCCCTCCCTATGCGCCTGTGGATTTGTCCCCCCTGTTGATTTCTTTTCCTATCATAAATAAAATGTCTTTTGTATTCTCCTTCTTCTCTGAGGACTCCACCAAAGTCAGAGAAGACAGGTCAAGTCCTGTCTGGAAGTGCATCTCTGCTGAAACAGACACAGCCTCTAGCATTTACCCAGAATTTGGGCTTTGCCACTTTCGAACCATAGGATAGACACACAGCCAACCTTGGTGATGCCCAGTGTGAAAGTCAAAGCTGGCTGGTGGGAGGGAGCCATCCAGGCATCCTTCATACAGGGTTCTTGGTGCAATGACATTGTCAACATTGCACGGGCTTGTGTACATGACTCCTCACTACCCCAGCCCCATTTACAGGTGAGAAAATAGGGCTCACAAAGTTATAGGCAACACCTTTCCTAGAGACAGACTTTGAAGACTTTTCATTTCTTTAAAGTGTGCAAGAGGGACTGAGGGGTGTGGCTTGCTCAAGTACTTGCCCAGCAGGCATGAGCTCTGGGTTACATCTCCAACACTGTATAAACAGGGTGTGGTGGGACTGTAAGGAGTACGGTTTTCCGCCCGCCACCTGGTCTGGTCCCGCCACCACGCTGCCAGCCCCAAATAATGCACAGAGACTCTGTATTTGATATAACCCTGTTGGCCTGTTACTAGTTTCTTATTGGCTAGCTCTATCGTAATTATTAGCCCATTTCTATGTATTTCCACGTGGTCTTACCGAGAGCAGAGGAATGGCGGTTCTATTCTCTCCAGACTCTCCATCTTGGCTCCTCCTTCCTACTTCCTCATCCTCCTTGTCTCCTAGTCCCTCCTATCTTCCTTTCCTATTGGCCAACAGTGCTTTATTTATTAACCAGTATGAGAAACATATACAGAATGACATCTCCCATCATGGGACCATATCTATAAACTAGGCACTTGGGAGGTAGAGACAGGAGGCTCAGAAATTCAAGGTCATCCTTGGCTATATATTAAATTTGAGGCCAGTCTGGGATTCATGAGACCCTGTCTCAAAACCCCAAACAAATGAGTGTGCTGGGAGCCAGCCTCACCTTGGCTAGACACCAGCTCCACCACTGGGATTTTTCTAACTGTGCTTTACCCGTACCAATCAACCAATCAATGCCTACATCTGTAAAATGGGTTTGTCCCCAACAAGCTCAGGGTCAGTGTTGAGACCAATGCATTTCCTGTTAAGCCAACAACTCAGGGACAACTCCAAGACATGCCCCAGAAGAACCCCCAACTGTCCTAGAGGGTCCAATTGGAAGATCAGGGCTCCCCTTCAACCCCCCCCCACATGCCCCAGCTCCCTTGCCCAGGCCTCAGAGGAGCCAGATTGTCAGTGAATTATGCTGTATGCTCTGCTTATCTGAGAAGGTCTGAAGTTTCTCAGGATGAAAGCTAGTCCTATTTTAGGACATCTAGGTTTCAGACAGTAATCACCCACTCTGCTGGGGGGGGGGTGGTTCAGGACTGTCCTGCTTGCCAGTCACTGGTTTCCCAGGTCAGAACATGGACATTTTCCTTGGATGACTTCAGGCCCTCTTGAAACCCTCCAGCTTCAAGCAGAGAGGGACTTTTCCCTTACAGGTTTGGAGTAACCACGCCCCAGGAAGAGGAGGGCGCATCCTGGCAGGGAGACACATGGACAATGGCATCCTGGCATCCAGAGCTTACCTGGAAGGGCCCTGCAGCTATGACCCACCCCCAAGTTCCCTGAAGCTGAAGCTCCAGCTAGAAGCAGCCCCTAGGTAGATGTGAGGCTTTGGCAGAAAGAAGGAGATGAATCCAGGGCAGGAGACACCTTCAGGGAGCTAGGGAACAGAAGAAAGGACAGCCTGAAGGGAAGGTTCTACAAACAGCAAAGTGAGAAACAGGTTAAAAAAAAAAAAAAAAAAAAAAAAAGAGAGAGAGAGAGAGATGGTAACTGAGTCTCAATTGCTTTTTTTGTGTGAAAAGAGAAGGAAACACCAACGTTCTCAGCCCTAGGGCTCTGCAGATGCACAGTAGAGATGGAAGCTGCCATCCTCACTGATGTCAAGGTAGGGCATGTGGCTTGGCTACCATCTTCACATCCCAGAGGAAAAGGAGAATGGGATAATGCACCAAAAAGAATTTAAAAAAAAATCACCAAGCCAGTCATGGTAGTGCCGATCTGTGATCTCAGCACTTAATATGTGCACATAGGATGAGTCATTCAAGACTACCCTTGGCTACATAGCAAGTTTGAGGCTAGCCTGAACTACATGAGACCTTGTTTTATTTAAGTGATTTTTTTTTAAAAAGCTGAGTTGGGTCTAATAAATGTATGTTAGTATAGGCTGGAGGACAAGGGTTAAGAGAAAGGAAAAGGTCTACAGGAAGAAAGCAAGACCCCCTCAGAGTGAAAGCGTGAGCTTCAGTAAAACCCACACTTCATTGTCTTTGCAGAGTCATATGCAGTTGGCTCCTGTAGGGTGACAATCCATAAAATAAACTTAGTCTTTCGGGGATTCAGGCAGGTAAGGTACATTCACATAAACAAGGTCTGATCTGAGATGCCAGGACAAATTAAAATGTCTTTCAGAAGGTATAAGGTCCTACTCAAAGTAATATGTATTCAGGTTGTAAAGCTAGGTCATTGCTATTAACAAAACAAAAACAAAAAACAACCTATGTACGAAAGGGATGCTCTATGTGGGAAAGCCTTCATGCAAATGCTGTTAATTATGTTGGAATTTTTGCTTCTCAGACAGTAAGAGGTTTCACCCACACTCCAAGGCGAATGGTTCCTTTCTCTCCCCATAGCCCCATAATTTCTCCTGTTTTTCTATTCTGCCTCAGTTTCCCTCCTGAGATTCTAGTCATGGGATCTTTTGATCTTAAGAATTGCAGGCCAAAGTTCTGTCTTTTGTACTTTCCTTCCATACCGACCAAAGTGTAGCCCCTATCTTTCCAGGAATCAGAAGAGTGCAGCCATGTGATCTGAGGGGATAAGAGGGTCCAAGCATGCAGGCAGAG